GTCCTGCTTTCCCTTTCCTTTGCTATTTTTCATCTCCAATCTCCGGTCGCCCACCTCTCTCTCTTATCCACTCTACTTGCATATAACCAAACCCTAGCTGTAGCTCACGTCTCTTCTTTCCTCCTCTCCCCTGAATAACTCCTTCATTATCTCCGGCGAGATCCGAGCTTACTGCCGACAACCCCCAGTCGCCGGAGGCCAAGGTGGCAGGGTCTCCGGTAAGGTGATTACAACCGCGTCTTTGTAATGAAAAGAGAAATGTTAGATCCTTTTGGTGTGATTCGTGTTCGATCCAAAACCTGGTTCCACAAGAGGAAAAAAGGCAGTCCTGAATCATCCCTTTGATTTTTCTTTCTTCGCGATATTCGATCATTGTATACTAGTTTGATCGTGCTGGCGCGGTGTGGGGTGGTTGGTGGGGTATTTTTTGTGAATTTGTACAGTTTGGGGGAAATCGAATTTTGTTGATTCTGTTGTGTGTATATTGATTTAGATCTTAATTTTGTAAATATTTAGAGTGTTTCTGAAAGTGGCGAAGATGAATTTGGGCACGGCGGAGGAAGAACCTGAGCAGGAGATTCATATCCCCGCCGAAATTGATTGGGAAATGCTTGATAAATCCAAGTTCTTCATCCTAGGTGCGGCGCTGTTCTCCGGCGTATCCGGCGCGCTTTACCCTGTAGTCGTGGTGAAAACCCGGCAGCAGGTGGCTCAATCTCAGGTTTCTTGTATTAGAACGGGGATTTCGATTGTGAGGCATGAAGGTTTTAGGGCTTTGTACAGAGGATTCGGAACATCTTTAATCGGTACAATCCCTGCCCGGGCGCTATACATGGCGGCGCTGGAGGTTACCAAGAGTAATGTTGGGAGTGCCACAGTTAGCTTAGGGTTCCCGGAGCCAACTGCAGCGGCCGTTGCAAATGCCGTCGCGGGGTTAAGCGCTGCAATGACGGCACAGCTTGTTTGGACACCAATTGATGTTGTGAGTCAGAGACTCATGGTCCAAGGAAGCGGGAGCTCATCTCCGAACGCATCAACGTGCAGATATGTAAATGGGATTGATGCGTTTAGGAAGATCATCAACATCGATGGACCGAGAGGATTATACAGAGGGTTTGGAATATCAATCTTGACATACGCACCGTCGAATGCTGTCTGGTGGGCTTCTTACTCCGTCACCCAACGGCTAGTTTGGGCTGGAGTCGGATGCTACCTGTGTAAGAAGAAAGACAGTCAAAATGAGAACGGAAGTTATCTAATGAGGCCGGATTCAAGAACAGTGATGGCAGTTCAGGGAGTCAGTGCAGCCCTGGCAGGCGGGATGTCAGCCTTGATAACAATGCCACTGGATACAATTAAGACTAGAATGCAGGTTTTGGAAGGGGCGGAAAACGGGCGGCGTGGACCGACTATTAGCCAGACCATCAGAAGTCTGGTCAGGGAAGGTGGATGGTGGGCGTGTTACAGAGGATTGGGACCGCGGTGGGCATCAATGTCGATGTCTGCAACCACCATGATCACCACCTACGAGTTCCTGAAACGGCTCTCGGCAAAGAATCAAGACGGTTTGATGTAATGAAGAAGAAATACAAGAATAATGGCAAAAAGAGGTCTTTTTTGAAATCCCCTTTTCTTGTTTGATGTTCTTTTCAATGTTATGTGAATCAAACGCAGGTTTCTACTTGTGAAAATGAAATCTAATTTCCTTTGAAATCAAGGTTCCTGGGTTTTTTTTTTTTTTCGCTTGAGAGAGCTTAATTAAGGTTTCAAAACATAGTTGTAGATTCCTTTGATAGTGGAGGAGCATCTGGTTACGGTGGGATGTTTTTTTCGTTCTTATCTTGATTAATTGGCACATGGTATGTTAAAGCAAAAGGTTCTGATAATACAGTTGAAAAGTCTCAGTACTTTTTATTCCATGTATATTGGTGGGGGATGCCTATCTTTTGCTGTTGGACGGATGTGGAACTTAGCAGCAAAAATTAGTGGATTGGCTTACCATATTTACTGATATGGACATATATATATGTATATATTTACAAAGAGAGAGTACAGGGATGGAGGGAATAAAGAAAAAGGAACCAGGTGAAAATCGAAAGGGCTCAATTAATTTTATGGTGGAACACAATAATATCTGAGGATTGTTTAATGTCATCCTTGCTTGCTGTTGTCCAACAAAAAGGTTTTATCTGACTACAAGTTGAGAGCAGTAAATACTAGAGGTGAAACAAATCTAGCAAACTTTACCCCGTACCCGTAGATCCTTACTTTCCAAGTACGTCAGACCTAGCAGAATTTTCCAGAATTTGTTATAAATAAAATGGTCCCAGACCCAACTTGCAGTTGGTAGTCTTATAAAAGCATCCGTCCCTTCGTCCTCGAGTGCTTGCATTGAATCACCATAAATGTCTCTGATTAGATCCTGATCCTGATTTTGCACATGGTGGTTTTTGAGAACTTTCACAGAATTCGCAACTGGATATTAAGGATAAATTAAATGTTCTACATGGGAATTGTCCGAAAATCAAACTACAAAGAAACAGTTTTAAAACTGAAAACTGAGATCTCCTACACCAAACTAATCATTCACATCCTGTTGCAGCTGCACTACTAGTCAGATACTGGAAATAGTAACACAATGAGAGAGACGAGTTACAAACAGGGCACACAGCATCACATGTTGGTGATATCAAGCGCGGGCTCTCTTGTTGCTGCATGTTGGGCATTTGTACTGCTTAATATGCTCTGCTCTAGCTGGGGTAATTTTCACACACTTCCCATGGAACCACTTCTCACAGACATCACAGCAAATCCAGAATTCATCTGTTCCATAGTTCTCACCGCATGCCCCACACAAAGTCTCTCCGTGCTCCTCATCATCTTCCTCGTCCAAGCCTTCATCTTCATCCTTTGGCTGTGATGCTTTTGAAAACTTTCCCTGTGGCTCCCGCTAATAAGAGAAAAACCCAAAGAATAAAATTAAATTAAATCTTCAAGTAGTTGCCTGATGCAAAAGAATACTAAAACACAGGAAAGGTGATAAAAGCTGCTTGGAAAATTATTTGTGCAAAACAAAAATATTGGTTCCTGAATGCAGCTGATAGTTGTTCTTTATAATTCAAAACACTTATTTGTCTGCTTAAAGACCAAAAGCATATAGCTGTCCCATATCACCTAAAACAAACAGGCCATGAATTGCCACTGGGGGATTACCAAAAAGCTTTTTTTTTTGACAAACCAAGTTACAAGAGGAACTCACCATTTGTACTTGATTAGTTCCCCTTGGGTAAAAGAGAGAATCCTAAAAATAAAATAAACTTGTGCCAACAGAGCAGATGCCACCACAGTATTCATTCCAATTATCTATGACAACAAAAATATCTAGCGCAGAAAACATCTTACTGCTTTAGAATTGGACTTCGATTTGTTACTACTATGATTTGAGACTGATGACTTCTCCTTTCCCTGTTTCTTTGCTCCACCAGTCACAACTTCAAATATTGTTGGAAGATCATTTATCATATTGAAAAGGCGTTTCCTGCTCCAATATAAGATATTGCAATAACATCAAAACGTTCATGTTTAAAGTCATGATGCAGAATATAACTAAATAATATATCCCAAAAAAAAAAAAAAAAAAAAAAAAAAAAAAGGCCTGCTAGTGGATGAGATGAAGATCAAAATACATCTCTTAAACTTAAATTGCTTGAATCCTACAATTAAAAACAGAGCCAATCAAACTAAACAATACTAGGTGGTAACAGTATCACGTAAGACTTCAATAGTTAGGCCTCTCCTGCTCCAACTCCTACCACCCCCACCCCAAATCACATTTATCTGAGATCAAAATACATCTCTTAAACTTTAATTAAGCCACAAGGTCCTAGGCTCTAACTTTGGCATGCAAGCTTAATACCACAGTTTTCAAGAGTCTGCCATGCATTTAATGGAGGAATTTGCATAAAAAACCAAAACAAAATTCAAAATGAGCCAAGGAAAACATTTTCTCGATGACTCATAAATGTAGGCTTGTGTGCACATGCATGCACATATTATTCAGATTAATCTAAATCATGACCATAAACAGAAAGGATGGAAAATCTATTCTATATGACAACAGGCCAGGGCAAAAATAACCTAGACTTTTACAAACTTCAGCAAAACAAACAGCACCACCAGAAACCAAAGTCAAACTCAAAGCTGGCACGAACTGCCCATGCCCAATTATGAAGTCAATCTAGTCTTACTACTTTGCTGATTAAAACTGTGACAAGGGCAAAATTATTCAACTAAAAAGATATTGGGAGCATCCAGCCTTTCGCTACCATTCAGAGTGCACAAACAATCAGAACATGAATCAAGAAAGAAGTCAACAAATCATTTGCCAACAAACTTTAATTTTAATGAACTGCAGAATGTAACGGTGCAAAAGACACTAAAGAGCAAAACTTCATATTGATTGGCATACCTATCAGCTTTATCAAATCCAAATCTAGCTCCAAAATAGAAGGCAACTGAAAGCAGCCATGCATCACTATGAACAGCAACTAAAGATAACCAGTCCTTCTCTTGCATGCCATCCCTTGCAAAGTTAATACCCAATGCAGGCTCTGGTAGCTCTGGAGGAACTTCTTCAGCTGGTAAATTAACTTCCCATTGCTCACTTGGAAAGCCATACAAACATAAATTCTCCTTCTCTGTAAATAAAAGAATAATTCATGAAGGCTAGTCAATGGGGAATTATAACCTTAGAAAACAAGAAGAAAAAGAAAACATAAAAGTAGTGATTAACTAAAACAATCAACAAAAAAGTAAGCAAAAAACTATATTGACATTACAAAGGATTGAGACTAAAAAAGGTCACTGTAGCAAAGAAAATGCCTTTGTTTGTTATAGTTGTATTAAATATCATCAAGCAAGTTACTGAGTGAACAGCCAACCAAAACTCATGAACTTAATGAATTACATCAACCTCTCCATGATCAAGAGTATCAATAACGAGAACATTTCTATAGACCATTAAAGTAAAAACCACACAAGTGCAGCCAATTACCTAGACATACAATACAACACCAACCTCTTCTATTGAACCCTTTTCTTACATCCTATCACTCACCATATTGCAAACAAACAATTAGAAAAAGCCAATCATCCCCTTGTCTCCCTGGTCCTAGCCCCTAGCAAAGTCCTTACCAGGATCTAGGGCTGGGTAGAATGGCCCCGAGACATTTGATTTTCAAATGAAATTACAGAATTGAAACAGTTGGGCAGCTTAACACTGAGAAATTTCTTTACAGGGAGAGAGTAATAATAACTTAAGCACATAAAATAGGGAGGGAAATAAAGTACAGTAGTTTTATAGAACCTTACATAAGGCCAAAATAACTATAAAAAAAAAATTCAAGCTTTCCAAGCGGACCAAACCTATGCATCTACATGCTTTTCTAACGATAGAAGCACAAGCCAATAAAATCACTGCAGTCAATTATGCTTCAACTTTTAATAACCCCAAATAAACAATGTATTAACAAAGAAATGTCCAGGAGAGACTCAATATGCAACTGATTGGCAATCACACAGCTTTCAACATAAAGAAAATGTCTACATTTACAAATGACAATAACTTTGGTAAAAAAAAGCAAGCCTTACCAGGATCACACTGCTGATAAAACTCTTCAACATCTACAAAACAAGAAAAAAATATATTACTTAAATAATCTCAAAAATATTACTTCAAACAGCAAACTTTCAAATAATTTTCTTTCAAGTTCAGTTATGTGAAGCTACTTGTCATCAACACAAGCATTGTCTGCACATGACATATAGTAGACAAACCCAAACCACCTCATTCACCCTATTTGACTATTTCCCTTTCGTCCCAAAAAGAAACTCGAAACAGCAATAATTTTTTGACTTTTCAAATTCTCCCACAAAGACAGAAATGAATCACTAAATTTACATTTCAAACTTCACTTTTCTCATGCATGTTCTCAGTAAACGCATTAAAGTTAAAAGCAAAAAATTGAGAGCACAAACCACCAATTCTAACAAAATAGATGTAATAAAATGCAAACCCAATTGTTTCATTTTCATTTTTTCCTCTACAGTTGCTAAATTATCTGTATAAACAAACACCAAATTCTAATTCCCATCTTGCTCGAAGAAAACCTAGAAAATCAGAGTCAGAAAATGAAAAAAATTTATTCCAAAAAAAAAAATCAATTCTAAAAATACGCAGAATTCAGTCGAACAATAATCTTTCCCCTTCTCAGATTTCATAGCTAAACAATAAAAAAATATTACAAAA